TGGGAGGAAACCGGAGCACCCGGAGAAAACCCACGCATGCATGGAGAGAACATGCAAACTCCACCCAGAAAGACCCCTGGACCGGGGTTTGAACCAAGGACCTGCTCGCTGAGAGGCAGCAGCTCTACCAGTTGCGCCACCGTGCTGCACTTTTGAGACCTTGTTTCTGTATTTTTGCTGCATGTTTTGAATAGTCAATGTCAATGTCAATTTATTTATATAGCACATAAAAAACAACAAAAGCTGACCAAAGTGCTTTACAGTTAAGACAGATTAAAACATTTAAAAAAAAAGAGAGTAAAAATGCATCTAGTGCCACTCAAAAACATAAGTTGACAATAAAAAACAACACATAACAATAAAATCAGCTCAACTTGTTCTCAGACTCTGCGTGGATAAAATGCCAAGGAATACAGATGAGTCTTGAGCAAAGATTTAAAAGTCTCAACAGTCTGAGCGGTCTTTAAATTCTCAGGTAAACTGTTCCACAGTTTTGGAGCAGCAACCGCAAAAGCCCGATCACCTCTGGATTTAAGTTTGGATCTGGGGACATCTAAGAGGAACTGGTTGGTAGACCGGAGTGCTCTTACTGGAGTGTAAATGTTAATGAGATCACATAAATATGACGGGGCCAGACCTTTTAAGACTTTAAAAACAAGCAATAAAATCTTAAAATCAATTCGGAAGTGGACAGGAAGCCAGTGGAGAGAAGCCAGGACAGGGGTTATGTGTTCATGTTTTTTAGTTGCTGTTAAAAGACGAGCTGCTGCGTTCTGGACAGATTGTAAACGATGCAAAGATGATTTGTCTAAACCAACATACAATGAATTACAATAGTCCAAATGAGATGTGATAAAAGCGTGAATCACCTTTTCAAGGTCTCTGAAAGGGAGACAAGACTTCACCTTGGCAATGAGTCTTAGCTGGAAGAAACTGGATTTCACAACTGTATTTATCTGTTTATCAAATTTAAAAGCACTGTCAAAAATAACTCCCAGATTCCTGACATTGGAGTGGCTGTATGAAGCCAAGGGGCCAAGCACATTAAGGGTATTACATTTACCAAAGCTGATGACTTCCGTTTTATTTTCATTTAGATTCAGAAAATTTAGTTTTAACCAGATTTTAATGTCATTTAGACAGTTCAAGAGTGGATCCAGTGAAGTGACCCTGTCTGACTCAATCGGAAGATATAACCGAGTATCATCAGCAAAGCAGTGAAAAGGGATGTTGTGTTTTTTAAAAATGGACCCCAAAGGCAACATGTAAAGATTAAAAAGCAATGGACCTAAAATAGACCCTTGAGGGACCCCACAGATCAGAGGAGCTGGAGATGAAGAGCATTTCCCTATACAGAAAAACTCCTGTCAGTCAGGTAGGATCTAAACCAGGATAAAACTGTGCCTTTGATACCGACCACCTGCTCCAGTCGTGACAACAAGATGTTGTGGTCCACAGTATCAAAGGCAGCAGAAAGGTCTAAAAGCACTAAAACAGCAGAGCTTCCTGCATCAACAGTTAAAAGAAGGTCATTAAAAACTCTTAAAAGGGCTGTCTCTGTGCTATGGCCTGATTTAAAACCAGACTGGAATTTTTCACCAATGCTGTTGGCAGTTAAAAACCTCTTAAGTTGATTAAAAACAACTTTCTCCAAAATTTTCGACAGAAAAGGCAGTTTAGAAATAGGTCTGTAGTTTAAGAGCAGTGTTGGGTCGAGGTTTTTCTTTTTTATGAGTGGCTGCACCATGTTTAAAAGTAGCTGGAACACAGCCTGATGACAGGGACATGTTAATTAGGACAAGAACTAATGGACCAAGAGTGTTAAAAACTTATTTAAACAGACGAGAGGGAACACAGTCCAGAGGTGAATTAGAAGGTTGCATGTGGTCCACGATGTCCTTTAAAACAGCAAGAGTCACCGGCTCAAACTGTTCAAAGGATGCTGCGGATGGAGGAAGTGAGGAGGGGTCTGTGTAAAGGTGTGTTGAGGAGGGTCTCAGAGCAGAGATTTTATCTATAAAAGACTTAGAAAACTGTTCACACAGTGCAGAAGATTCAGCAACATGAGCAGCATCACAAGGATTCACAACAGAGTTAAAAACATTAAAAAGAACCCGAGGTCTGTGACTGTTGTTTGAAACTATGTTAGATAAAAAAGCAGTCTTAGCAGCTTTAACAGCTCTCTGATAATTTATCAAGCTGTCTAAAGATGTCCAGGGAAACCTGCAGTTTGTCTTTACTCCATTTCCTTTCTGCTCGTCTGCACTGGCGTCTGAGCGCGCGGGTGGATTCGCTCAGCCACGGCTGACATGACTTCCTCTTTTTGGTTTTTAGAGGAGCAACAGAGTTCAGAATGTCAGTGCACACAGAACTAAAAAGATCAGTAAGCTCGTCCACGTTAGACACAGAGCAGAACTGAGGGTTGCAGGAGACAGAGTCATTAAAGCCAGCGGAGAAGCGCAGCGCGGTGTTTGAATTAATTGCGCGTGCAGAACGCACAGATGGTCCAGCCCATTCCTTCCTGCCAGAGACCACCGCAGTGAACAGAACCGGTAGATGGTCAGATAAAAGAGCTCCACAGATGACACATTTATCCCATAAGACAGGACCAGATCCAGTGTGTGTCCTTTTTCATGAGTTGCACCCGTGACGGACTGCGTGAGATTAAAAGAGTCAATAATGTTCAGAAAATCTCTGACCAGAGGTCCAGCCTCACAGCACACGTGCAAATTAAAGTCACCAATTATTAAAAAGCTGTCGTATCGTAGCATAAGTCCCGTCATAAAATCAGTAAAATCTTTAATAAAATCTTTGCTGGCCGGTAGATTGTAGCGCAGAGTAAAAGAGGAGAGAAGTTTATCTCCACCATCTGAAGTTCAAAACTCTGGTAAAAATGAGTGGGGATCAGCCGACATTTAAAACTAGATTTAAAAACAGAGGCTAATCCACCTCCTTTACCGGTGGTCCGAGGAGAGCTGAAGAAAGCGCAGTCAGGAGGGAGAAGTTCAGAAAAAGGAGCCGACTCACCAACATGAAGCCAAGTTTCTGTCAAGAACATAAAATCCAGTTTTTTGGAGGTAAAAAAGTCATTCAGAATAAAAGTCTTGTTGGTTAGGGACCTTGTATTCAGCAAGGCTACTCGGAGAGTCTGATCCTTGATGCCCGCAGCAGGTGCGCGGGCCAGCTGGCCGAGATTTTTCAAGTTTATTGTGCCACGTTTGGAATTCCTTTCACGTCGCCAGTATGAAGTCTCATGTTCCAAATGAAGAGATGGAGTCACAGATTTAATCCAACGATGTCTCCATTCATACAGATAGTTGCTTGTATGATAGTGAGAGAGACCAGAATTGTTGCCAGATATTATCAGATATGCTTTAATTCTCACCAAAAATCCTCCTCGCTTTCCGCGTCTCCTCGGGCGTCTCCGAGGTTGAAAGGCGCACGGCGCAGATAGTCCGGTATGTTTGACAGGTGAGGAGGTAGTTGTGATGAATCATTACTAGAACCAGATAGTGGCAACTTAACATGTCGGAGGCTGAGAAGAGTTGTGCGGTCATAGACGAGCAGAGCAGAGGCATCATAACAAAAAATACTAAAAAGCAAACAAACAACAAAAAACAAGCAGAGCATACGTGGCAAGCGGCTGGCCGTAACTGGCGCCATCTTTCACTAGTCACTAGTGATGGAGAATCCAAAGCTTTCTGAAACATCAACTTACTGCTATATTAATTGTGTTGAAATTATGTTTTTAGAAGCATTTGATATAATAAAACACCACTAGAGTGTGCTCTTGTAGAACAAACTTCCAGTTTCAGTTCATAAGACTGACACATTGTCCAGTTTTAAGACTGGGCTTAAGACTTTCTTTTTTTGATAAATCCTATAATTAGGGTTGACTTGTTACTCTTCCTTAAGCTTAGACTGCTGGAGGACAAAATGACCTAATTTCCTTAAATGATTTTCTAAAACTGAACAGTTTTCATTTGATAATATTTCTATCTTAACATGTGATTCTTGACCTGCCATTGTGTATCTGTTCCTACCAAATCCAGCCCGTCAAAGGCCGCTTGTCCTGAGCTGGTTCTGCTAAAGGTTTCTTCCTCATGAGGGAGTTTTTCCTTTCCACTGTCGCCTTCATGCTTGCTCAAGATAAGAGTTCTGCTATGGAGTAAAATTCAAAGCGGTCTGCTCCTCAGATAAATAATGTTATTAGCTTACTTTTTATATTTATGAATGTTTATGTTTATCTTTTGAGCCTATACGCTCCACACTGGCTTGTCATCTATTATCTGCATCATTTTTATGTCTATATTCTGATTTACTTCATTTTTTATATTGCTTTGTGTGTTGTTCTGTCTGTACAGCACTTTGGTTGGCCTTGTCGCTGTTTTAAGTGCTCTATAAATAAAATGGTATGATATGTTCATCCTGAGATGACTTCTGGTGTGACTTGGTGCTGTATAAATAAACTGAATTGAATTGGTAGTAGCTGAGAGTCAACCAGAACTCGTCACAAGATCTGAGGTTATTCATTATGACCACACTGGCTGTAACTCCAACATGTTTCATTACAAGACGATTTTAGTTTAGAAATTTGAGAAGAAAGGCGGCGGACGATACGCATTTGTTTAATTTAAATGATCAACGATGTCTTTATTTTTAGATTTCTACTGTAAAAATCTGATTGTAGGCATGAAACATTGTTTGTGGTAATAAAATATGACCACATTACATTTCAAATCAAATCAAGCTGCAGGTGCTGGTTTGTACCGGCAGAGGGCGATACTGAGTCGTGTTTTGGTGGCGCGTCGAGTGAAAGGAGGCAGGAACAGACAGGAACACAGGGGTTGTTGCTGCAGAGAGGAGAAACTCCCCAGTCTGCCGTGAACAGGAGTCCAGCGGACATCTGTGACTCTGAAACATTTATTTACGGCGGGAGATCACGTTCTGCTCAAAGAAAAGCTCTTTCTGAGAGGACTGCAGCGCACAGGACGGGATCTCCAGAGGACCAGACAGAAGACAGTCTCTGATTCATCATCACGGAAAACGCTGCAGGTAATCTGTTCATGTTTCTCCACACACAAAACTAATTTAAAACTATTGTTCATGACAATCAGCAGACAGTGACACGTCCTGAATGATGTGTGAACAGGTGAAAAAACTGCAGGTGTCTCCCAGCTGTTCAGAGACAAGGTGTTCTCAACTTATTATAGGCTCTATTTCTTCTCAACACCCATAGAAACAGATTAGATTGTAAAAGCTCATCTTTTGTTGTCGTGTTTTACTTTAAAAGCAGTGTTTTTAATGAAATTACTTTGATTCAGAGTTTGTCTCAACCTGGGTGTGCTGCTGGACATTTACTTGTTCTTCACCAGTTAATAATAAGGAAGTGGGTTTTATGCGTCTTTTCTGACTAATAAGAAACAGACAGTTTGGTAGGAAATGGGGCAAGCCTGAAGTTGTGCAAGTTAGAAAATGTCCAAGCACAACATAATCCAGATTATAATGTCACATACTTAATATTAGGATGTCTTTGTTAGGTCAAGAGGTGCTGCCTGATGTTAAATCTTGTGCTTTTAGTGAATTAATCTGAATATTACTTGAAGAAGTTCCTGTTACATTATTACTGCTCTTGCCAGAGGAGTGTTACATTTTTCTGCTGGTCACTGTCAGTCTCCTCATACATTCCTTTAACCTCATCACACCCAAAGATTCAGTGGACTGCAATGAAACAGGTCTGAGAAATCAAACAGAAAAGGAAACCAGTAAAGCTGAAAACAGTGAAAGCTGCTCAGTGGGAAGAGAAGCTGTTTTCGACAGCAGCTTCTTTCCTCAGTGGCATTTTGGTTGTTCATTGCTGGTTTAAAAAAAAGAAAGTAAAAAAACTTGTATTTTTAGGCTTTACTGAGTAAAAATGTCCCTTTTTGATTTCATGAAATGTAAGAGAGCAGAACATTTTATTATATATAATTTTGATGCTTCAAAAGTGGCCAAAAACTCTAAAAGTATGACGTTATAGTTCATTGTTAGTTTCAATCAAACTGTGACTTATGGATCATTGTAAAAGATGAACAATTGTGCAGATCTGATTGGTTTTGAACCAACCAGTATTTTTGATGTTGGTTACAGGGCAAATAAAAGGATACAGGAACTGAGAGTGCTTTTATTCTGGCGAATCTCCTTCATCGCCCTGATTTGACTGAAAGGCGGCTCAGCTGGGTGCCACAGGACGTTTGAAAGGGAAAACAAATCATGCAAATTCCCTGTTCGCTCCTCAGGAGTAACGCCTGACCTTTCATCCTGCACTGCTTCTGCTCGTTGCAGTGAGCACATCCGAGTGTGATGTGATGTTTTCCACATGAGTAGCAGCAGAAGGGCCAGACTCGCTGGATGACTGTCGGCCCTTTCTGCTTCTCTGAGGTTTTGGCACCAGGTGTTTGTGCATGTGAGGCTGTCAGGTAGTCATCGTCAGTAACTCAGAGCTGAGGTTAACAGTGGCAGATCTTATGAGCTCGTGGTAAAAGATGCAACATTTAGCAGCCGCGGGGCCTTTAGTGCAGTCTTGTGATGCTCGGGTCAAAGAGCACCCTATGCGTTTGCTGCACTGTGGGATCTTAGTAGAGACTGGACCAAAATAACAAACATATGAGGCTCATTATGACAGTTACACAAATGTGCTGCTTTCTGTCTCCCATTCCTGTTAATGACTCGGCTGCCTGATGCGTCTCGTGTCCATGCAGGGGTGTGGTCCCACATGGGCTCTGGTTACATTCATTATGTGCAGGTTAAAAAATGGTGCAGTGCGAGGGAAGTTCCACACTTTGTTGTGTTCGTGTGAGTTTTATCAGCCTGCAACTCCTGTCAGAAGAGCCTCACTCATCTCTGTTGCAAGGAGCTGAACGCATGGCAGGACTCCCAGGATGCCGAGCGACACCTGTTTGTTGTTTTCACCTGTCAGAGAGAATCAAGTTAATTTATTCCAGCAGAGCTGATAAACTAAATAAATGCTAAACGCTTGTCTCTGTTACAAAATGTTCCCTACACTGGGGTACAGTTTCTGAAACATTTTCATGCTTTACTGTGGATACAAATAATGTTTTTGCATGTGTTCATTTGGTACAGTCAGCAAAATATCTCATGAAGGGATTTTAACAAAAGTCTCGGAACATTTTCATCTGACTTCCTGTCAGAGTCAGTCCTGTTCAAAATGGCCACCACAGCTCATCAGCCTTAGCCCATACAAACAACAACCTTTAACTCCACCAGTTTTATCTACATTGAGCTAAAATTTGGAGTGGTAGTAGCTGAGAGTCATTCATAACTTGTACTATAAGCACTAACAGACGATGTGAGATCACACAGGTATCATATGAGTTGGCATAACCTCAAACACAACATGACGTTATGTTCAAGGTTTGACCAAAATGGCAAAAATTCCATAATTTCCCATCATCGGATAATTTTTGTGTCAAACTCTCCCACGAAAGACGGAACAATTCATAACATAAATTCTCAAACAATTACAAATCATCTTACTGATAAGGATCTGTTGCGTAGGACATTTAAAGAGATATGAAGACAACAACACTTCTGATGATGGAGAACAAATTCCTGAAACAGGTAGTGGTTGAGCTCAAATTAAGCACCTCACACTATCAGGCATGATCAGAAACTTTAAATATTATTTAATCAAGTCTCCCCAGGGGGAAAATAAAGCATATTATATTCTATTGTATTACAGGCCTGTTGAATGAGAGCAATGAGCCTCCTCCAAATAGTTTAAGAACGAATCATTGTTGAATCAGAATAAGGATCTAAACTCAGATCAGTTTGACCTGTTTCCTTCAGTGACCTGGTTCATTTTAAGCTCCTGGTGTTTGTGCCGTTGAGAACAGAGTTGTACCTCTATCTGAGCACAGTATGGGCTGTTCTCTCTGCCCGTTTTCTGTTTTATTGTCCTCATTTGTTGGCCAGCTTCCACTCATGTCAGCACATACCACATACTCCTCTGACTGCCATTAGTGCGCAGTCAGGAGTCATGACTGTGTAATTAAGTTACTTTTTATTATTTGGATTGTTAGAAATGTTGACCCAAAGAACCCAGAGTGTCTGGTCTCCTTCGCTACTGCACACAAACCTGGAAAAACAAACCGACTCGTTCTTTTAACCAGGATAACGTGACGTGATAGAAGAGCCGTTTAGTTGGCTGATGCATTTGTTTTATCAGGAAAAGCAATATTTAACTGAGATATGAAAAAAATACTCGTTTATGTTTTGAAGGCAGCTGTTCTCTGACCAGCTGACTCTGAAAGTGAAAGATGTCGGCTTTATGATTAAAGGTTCAACACTTAGCTTATGTAAGCACGAACTGAACACTCTCATTAGGTCATTGTGCCTTCATTTTGGGAAAAAAAATCTCATTACAGAGGCACTAATTGGAGAAAAAATCCTCATAATTCAAAGCTTTATTGCATTATAGTCAGTTAACGATCTCTCACTCCCATTGGCCTTTGAAGCTGGTGCTGAACACGTCACATCTGTTTTTATATGAGGTTCCACTCTGGTTGGAGTGCTCCAAACATGCTCATACTGTCCAAACGTGCTCGTACTGTCCAAACGTGCTCGTACTGTCCAAACGTGCTCGTACTGTCCAAACGTGTTCGTACTGTCCAAACGTGCTCGTACTGTCCAAACTTGCTCATACTGTCCAAACGTGCTCGTACTGTCCAAACTTGCTCATACGGTCCAAACGTTCTCGTACTGTCCAAACGTGCTCGTACTGTCCAAACGTGCTCGTACTGTCCAAACGTGCTCGTACTGTCCAAACTTGCTCGTACTGTCCAAACGTGCTCGTACTGTCCAAACGTGCTCGTACTGTCCAAACGTGCTCGTACTGTCCAAAC